TTTAACTAGATATTATCATTTTTTAAAGGTTTTCTTGAGAATCGTCTTAAATTCATACCTTTTTTTTAACATATATTTGTAGTTTAGATACCAAAAGGACTCCTTCAAATGAGTCTGCTTGTTTTCTTTTTTTTTTTTTCTTTTTTTTTAAAAAAGCATTCAAGTAGTTTTTAGGACAAAATTAATTTAGATTGTTCAAACTTTTGGCTAGGAAGTATCTTTCTCAAAAAGGTTTCTAGTAGATCATATGTATTCATATTGTTAAGCTCTAGCCCTTCCCTTCACATGTGAATATATTTATAGATTTCTTTAAAAAAAACATTAGAGAAGAGTTAGAGAAGAGCAAAACAATTGGCATTCTTCTATTTCAAATCATAATTATTAAATTTGTTCTGGGTTTGACTGCATGTAAAGTTTAGATTACGAATCAAGTTAATTTATTTAAAAAAAATTAAATAATATCATTTTAAAAAATATATATTTAAAAAAATCATCAAATTTTAACCAAGTATATCAAATCATAAGTTAATCCAAGATTTTTTTTATCAAGTTAACTCCTCTTTATATTTTATATTTTATGAAGTTTAAGCTAAACACTTTATATTTTATATTTTATGAAGTTTAAGCTAAACATATCTTATGTTGACCAATACATTAAATACCATAGAGAGGTGTTTAACCGATATAAGAGTAAGAAATATGATTTTTTTCTTACTTTTTTTTTTTATTAAAAAATGGTTTGTTATCTATATGAAAGAAGATATGACTTATCCTTTGCATGCATAATTTCTGTCCTTTTCTCTTTATGTTTTTGAGTACCTAAAATTAAATGAAATGGCTGAATTAATGTCACTTTTTTTTTCCAGTTTAATTCAATTACAATGCATAACATTTTCAATACTTCCACTGCTACTAAGGTAAGTCAACAAGACCAAATATTACATATTGTTTTTGAAATTAGCAACGTAAAAATATCAAAATAGCAATATTTAAAATTTATTTATAAAAATAATATAGTTCTTTGGAATATACATGTGTCATATACACATAAAAAAAATTATGTAAATGTTACATGCACGAACTTTGATTTTTCATAAAAATTGCGCTTGTCTTTTAAATTATTTTTCATATATTTAAAGGTCATCCATATGACACATTGTGCTATTTTTCAAAAAAAAAAAAACTTAAATTATTTAAGACAAAATCTAATTAATGCTGCCCCGCATTGACATGTCACGTATTCAATAGGCCAGCATGTCAACCGGCATGTCAACCTAATCCCAACAACCAGTTGACATGTCAACTAGATTGATCACATGTGGCCAACGATTGATCGCACGTGGCCAGCCCTCCAATAACTTGTTGACATGTCAACCTGTTCTTTTCTTCTTCTTCTTCTTCTTCCTTCTCTGGACCGGATACACTTGCCTTAGGTTGATTCAGGCCGCTGTCCCCGTGACTCTACTGAACACCTGATCTACCATGACTGCGTGAGGATCATTTCGTTGCCTTTTGCTTACAATCTAACCTTCCCATGGTTGTCAATGAGTTGTTCTTTGATTTTTTTTCTTGGTGCAAAAAAGAAAGCATGCATGTTATCCTACACTATAGGTAATATACGTGGACACACTTGAGGAAATCTCTTCGCATCCATATTAAATTGTTACAACTCAAACTCTTTTTTTTAATGGATTAATTTTGAATTCATTCATTTTGTATATTAAAAAAAACAAAAGAAAACAAAAGATAAAAAGAAATTCCATTAAACCCTGTTGTGGTCAAGTGAGGGGCATTCTTAATAAACTTTAAACAATAATTTTAAGTTTTTGTGGTATTTATTGGTTTTTATCTTTTTTTTAGGGTTTATGGTGTAATTAATTTTTGTTTTATTAAAAAATCAATTCAATTTAAAAATTTAACTTATTAAGTGAGTTATAAGATATGACTCATATTATTCTTTAATATTTTTTTAAATAAAAGCCTTTCAAACTTGAAACTTATACAAATCAAGATTTAAACTTGTAACTGTTAAGTCAATTAAGCTCCAATATCATATTTAAAAATTAATTTAATTTAAAAATTTAAATTATTAAATAAAATTTTAAGATACAATTTATATTATTCTACAACTATTTTTTAAGCAGAAGTCCATGTATCTTGGTCAGTGAAGATTAAGTATTTGTTTATAAGATTGAAATCCAAAATCTTACTAATCCTTGGGGGTTAACTCTGTGTTTCTTTAACAAAGAAACTTTCAACAAGGCAGCCATTGTTACTATTCTGAAATTTGTCATGAGAGAAGGGATGATGAGTGTAAGTACATGCATCCCCCGCAAAGGCTTTGTGATTTGACGACAGTGCCATGGAATTCATCAAAGATCGAACTACATTTAAAGAGACTTACAGACAGACTCACAATTCATTTGATCTGCATGCAGTGTCCGCAACCACAGCCACTATAATAGATGGTCCACTAATAAAAATTTAGGATAAAAAGTTTTGTTTTTCTTGTTATTTTAAGTATAGTATGAAGCTTACTAATATCATGGGTATCAAAAAATTATATAATTATTAATTTTAAATTTTTTATAATTAATAAAGTTATATATAAAATGACCCGCACATCTATATTAAAAAAAAATATTAAAAAAAAGAAATCAAAATGCCAAAAACTGTACATAGAAGGTTGACATTTGAGATGGTGCACACGTTGTAGTTGACACATCCGTACTATTCATTTTAGAAAGTTAGATGGTGTATTTGTATGGTAGTAGGGTGGATGATGTTTTTAAAAAATAATTTTTAATTAAAAATATATTAAAATAAGTTTTTAAATGAAAAATATTTTGAAAAGTAGAATCAAAAGCAATGTAAATATAATAAATAAAAAACATCAAGATAATTAAACATTATAATTAATCATCAGTGATATATATATATATATATCTCGAGTTCTAGTTTTTTAAGTTTAAATTTTGGAACCAAAGGAGAATTTATTTTCTTAAATATATTTGCAGACAGAAGTAAAGATGTGGTCTTAAAACTATTTGGAAAAAAAAAAAGGGCTTAATCTTGATTTGATTGATTGGTATATAAATTAATCGAAAAAACTTGAAACCGTAACATAAAATAAAATAATTAAACAACCTATTCCTGTGAGGCTAACAATGAGCTAAATGTGAGGATAATTAAGAGAATGCATGAGATGAGCCGAAGGGCCATGTACGTTATTGGAGAAGAGGACAAAAATTGTTGAATTCAAAGGCATGTGTGCATGCTAAATGTCCCAGCATCTTTGGCAGGTAGGTCGGTTCTAATTATAGTTCTAACGTGACCGCCTCTAACTTGCAGGTTGTAATAATAAGACGAAGTCTACTCTCTGGGCTGCTGATTGGGTCACTAGCTAAATCCCCTCTGGTATAAATAGCCATCACGATTTCTCCTACTAACACTCAAGCTTTTTGCTCTAATCAGGCCAGCTACCCCGATATCTTCTACTACTTGTTTCTGAGTAAAGACACAAGAACGTAATGGCAATTAAAGCAATGCAAGATTTTGTATTTGTTCAGCTGTATCTTGTATTGAGCTTTCTTCTCCATGGCATTTATGGAGATTATGGTGGATGGCAGGTTGGTCATGCCACATTCTACGGCGGTAGCGACGCGTCTGGCACAATGGGTAAGCTAAAACAATAGAGTGTTGTTGTCGTGTAATTTCAGATGTACGTGTATGACAAGTACAAGTCTTGAATGCTTTAGGTCCAGTGTTTCTTACAAGATGTGGCAATGATTGCAGGGGGTGCTTGTGGATATGGAAACCTGTATAGCCAAGGGTACGGGACAAGCACTGCAGCTCTAAGCACTGCCCTTTTCAACAATGGCTTGAGCTGTGGTGCATGCTTCCAGATACGCTGCAACAATAGTCCTAAATGGTGCCATTCCGGTACCATTACTGTGACAGCTACCAACTTCTGCCCTCCTAATTATGCTTTGTCTAATGACAATGGTGGCTGGTGCAATCCCCCTCTCCAACATTTTGATTTGGCACAGCCTGCTTTCTTGCAAATTGCACAATATCGAGCTGGAATTGTTCCTGTACTCTTCAGAAGGTAATTTCAAAACGTCCTTAGTGACATGGTCATGGTATCAGCCATGACTGCACCTTAGTCTAGACCACCCAGAAGCTCTACTACTGTAATTACTTAATGCTTGACTAGCTGGAACAGCATCATTTTAGTTTGTTTGTGGTTTTTTACAGGGTCCCATGTGTGAAGAAAGGAGGCATACGGTTCACCATTAATGGCCATTCTTACTTCAACTTGGTCTTGATAACCAATGTTGCAGGCGCAGGGGATGTTCATGCTGTGTCTATCAAAGGATCTAGGACTGGTTGGCAAACCATGTCTAGAAATTGGGGCCAAAATTGGCAGAGCAACTCATATCTCAATGGCCAAGGACTCTCCTTCAGAGTCACAACCAGCGATGGCAAGACAGTTACCTGCTACAATGTTGTGCCTCCATATTGGCAATTTGGACAAACTTTTGCAGGAGGGCAACTCTAGTAAAGCTAAATTAATGTCCCTGTAGATTTGTTTCAAGTTGAAAAAAATTTGTGGTTATATATATATATATATATATAGGTGCGCGCGCGGGATGCTGAGGTTGCCGCCCAAGGCACCGGGGCTATCAAGTGCTAGTATGTATGTTGAGTTACCAACTTTGTCAACAACAAATGGCATGGGATGGAATAAGAGCACCTTTTCTACTCTTTATAGTTTTTGTCTAGTTTAAAAACAGAAGTGTTTGATAAAGAAATTGCTTTTGAAAAAACTAACGTTATCTCTGGAAAATATGAAGGATGCATGCCTCCTCTAGCTAAAAGAGTGTTTCACTCCTAAACACAGCGGTGTCAAACAGACCTTAAATATTGCAGGCATCGTGATGAATCAGAGAGGCAACCCAGCACAATGGTTCAGAAGATTAAAAGATAGAAGACTCGGCAAGCAAAAGAATTTGGAGTACTATTATACTGCAGGCATATGAACAATCACATATAGTGGCCACTCCTACATCACTTCATCATTAATAAATGAGAACTTAGCTTCTCTACAAAATTCACAGCTTAATGAGAAAACAGACTTGACCTTTGACATTGGAAGAAACCCCAACCAAAAACCATTCAACTCAGCTCATCATGTTTCAGGAGTTTACACACTTGATGAACACAAGTTCTTCTGCATGAAAAAACACCGCCTCTATAGTGCATCAGCATATACACCGTAATTCTAAGCTCAATAATTCAGCAAGGAGTATTTCACTCTCAAAACTATTCTGCCTTTCTCTACACCAAGCTTTCCGCCTGTAACTAGCCAATGTCCTGGGGGATCTTGTGGCCCTTTGCTCATCTCAGACATATCAACAAACTTTGCCAGCTTGTTCCCTGCAACATTTTCTCTTGAGGCTGAACTTGAGTCACCAGAGTTAGTATTATTTACAGTGGGGACTTTCTTTGACTTATCATTTGGCATGTGGTCCCACAAGGATCTTCGTATCGTGCAGCCCGGTAGCCTAGAATACAAAAGTTTCATGTATAAGACATTTCTTGAACCGAAATCCCACACTCCAAGCTGAGCCCCAGTGACAATGTAGACACAAGATTGGTCACCAATAAACGTTTCTGGGCTCTCAACTGGAGCAGAGCTCACATGAGAGAAATTCTTCCATTTCACTGGTTCAAACCATCGACTATCCTGCTCCTCAGGTCCCAGCCACTTGGGAGCACCAATTGCAACATGGGTGTCCCAGTATGGCAAAAGGATTTTTGGAAGAGATGCCAAGTGTTGAAGATGGATATGCAGGCGATTCTGCTTGGCTCCTTCCAAACATAATCGCAAACCTGTGACGGGCTTGCGCCCTACTGATACCTGCAGCCAATTTTAAGCAAAAATAAAATACCAAGTTTTGTCAAGGTTAACCCTTTGCATTAGCTAGTCAAATTGTCTTTGGGTTCAATTAGATAGTTACAACTGAAAAATCATGACTGCTTTACAGAGAATCCAATTAACAGTAATAAGTTGTTTGGTGGTAGAACACTCTCCACAAATCTCAGTTGCTACGTATATTTTATGAGATACAACACCAGCATTAAACTCTTTAATCCTGTTTCCCCCAAAAAATGTTAATAGTTGAGCCATCTTTCCCTTGGGACAGAAAGCATAGTTAGGTAAGAATGTATACCTGCTCCTGACTCACATAAAGCTTTTGCCCCATCATGCTGAACTGCAAAGAAGGGCAAACAGGTTCCTTTCTCTGGTGACCTGGAATATTGTCCTGTACAGGAGCCCAAATTCGAGGAATCTGGAACTCCAAAAAATATCTCAGCTCTTCAATCTGAGGTTTGTCTGGGCACAATTGTTAAAAAAAAATAAGGGTCATAGTTAAGAGTAGCACTACCTACTAGAAAAAGAGCACATAGGAGGGAAAGGATTCTAACTAGACAGTCATCTACTTGTCTTACATTCAAGATATAGAGCAATTGCACGACTCAGATGCTCAATTCCAGGTACCCCAACAAGGAGATCTGCGATAGGAACAAAAGTCATCTCAATGACATCTGGAGATGACTCTACAGTTCTTGCCCATCGGATATGATTTTGCTCCAGATCATCTCCTCCCCTCCTGCGGAAAATGACGGTAACATCCTGCATATAGAAGAATAACAGAACAAATTTTTAGACCTTCCGATAAATTTATCAGAGCAAGTTCTAGAACATAAGCCTTACACATTATTTAATTGTATGCAAATAATCTATTGACAAAAAGAGAATGCAGACTGCATTCATGCAAATACAAGAGTTAGCCACCCATGGCAACTTCTTAAATGCAATAAACTGAGATAGAATATGAGTGATCCTTTTTTTCCTGATAAAATCATGACATTAGCAAGAAAATGTTTTTGACAAAAACATCAAAACCCATTGTTAATTCATTCCAGATACAACTGATGCGTACAGGAAAACATCGTTGCAATGGGATTGCTATGAAAAGGAAAAATCCAAACAAGGAACAAATATGGAAAATACAAGACATATTTGCAAGCAAACCTTTTCAAAGAAAAATGATAACATGAAATTTATTCCAATTTCAACTAATCAATAATAGAAAACATAGTTACAATACACAGAGCAAATTTAAAGAAGGAACTGGACTGGGAACCACAAGACCAACAGATGGGAGTAAAACCTCGAATGCTCAGTTGTTGCATTTGGCTAACATGTTCAGGAAAATTATGTTTGGATGTAGATACTGTGCGTCGTCATGTAAAGAAATCTTGTATTCATTAAAATGACAACAAAAGGCATCATAATATAGTTCAACAAAGAGAACATTTAACATCAAGATTTCAGTGAGATAAAAGGGCAATTCTAAGAAAAGAAAAGGAAAAGAAAATAAAAAGATTGGCTTCTACGTACTTCTTTCCCAGTAAGATATGGCGCACTAGTTGGCTGAGGGTATATCCCTTGGCTGTTAAATATACCTGAATCACCACCCTGCTAAATCAAGAATAATCTGGTATAAGTCACAGGTGATCAAGAAGTAAGGGCATGTTAACGAAGGTGGACAAAGAAATAAGGAAAAATCACGGGACTAGCCTTATCCTTGAGTTTCATTGGACCTGAGCTCATATGGCCCTCTGTGTCAGAGAACCTCTGATTTCCAATATCCTGCACGTAGTGTTTAATCTCCATGGTTGACAAAGGCGATGACTGGTGTTGTTTAACATATATCACATCCTTACCACCAATAGTTACAGAAGTGATAACATGCGTCCCAAAATTTTCAATGAAGCTGTCAAAAAAAAAAAAAAAGATGCAGTTGTTATGGACAATTTAAAGCTTTGATGCCAATATATTCCTTCAGAGAATTAAAAATTTACACCTTGCCAAGGATGGAGGATCCCAGAAAGTTGGCACGGCCCTTATAACATTTTCATGCAGCACTAAGGGGGATCTCATAAGTTGGACCTTGGCAAGTGGGATATAATATCCATCCATCGAGAGGGTCTTTGTAGCTGCAGCATCAATATGCTTTGAACCGGTAAAACTAAATGCAGAATTGAAGCTACCAAGAGGAAGACCTCCTGATAGATTAGCCTTTTGATTAAAGTACTCCACCATCTGCAGTATTTGTTGTGAGAAGTGCATTAGAACAGCTACAGCAATCTCGTTCATTAAAACAGCTTGTATCAGTATTTCAAGAAGGGAAAATATCAAAAATGATAGTTTAGCAGTCAGTTCTTGACACCAAGGAATTTTGGCTAGTGCTATTTCATCTCAATCAGTTTTAAGATTAAAAAAAAAAAATCCTAGTCGAGCAACAGAGCTAATGTGTTAACTTGCAGTTTGCATTTTGAAACTCTGGACGTCATTCACTGCTCACACTCAAACACTCAAAGATGATTAAAGTCGTCTGGCAAGATACAATCCAAAAGTTCAAACATGGGTCTTGACCCATGCTCTCAAGCACAATAATTAAACACTACAAGAAAAAAAAAATCCAATAAAGCATCAAATAACTAGGCTTGAGACACATGCAATAACCCAGTGACAATAAACTGCAGAAGTAATGCAAGAGACAAGTTAAATTCTCCATCCACTTGGTACTGGTAGCAAAACCAAACCAGTCCAATCCTAATCGGCGTCTTAAGCAACTAAATTGATCAATATCAATTCAAGCTATCTTCAATACCACCCACTATAACCTAGTCCTCAAAGCACGGATTCTTACAACACAGGAAAACAACATCACTTCAAAATCAAAACAACAAAAATTCAAAAACCCACCTCATGAAAGGTGCAAACACCTGAACTCTCGCGGCCAATTGGGTCCAAAGAGCTCCTGATGTCCCTGGAAACATTAGGCAATAGAATCCCACCAGCTAACAAAAGATCTCTAGTATGTTCACCATCAATCTCCACCACCTTAGACCCAGCAACTCCTTTACAATACAGCAACCTTTTATCATAGTTCACATCAAATCCTCTCCCAAGAGCTTGCACAGCGTTCATGGCTGTGTGCATTGCTGCAGCATTAACACTTCCTCTCTCTCCCATTTTAGCTAAATACCCAATTCTTTGAAAATCATTTAGACCCTAAAAAACTAATCTTTTCCTCCATTCCCTTGATGGGTTTTCCAAAAAACCTTAAAGATCAAACTCCTCTCTCAAAAACTCACAAAAACAGATTTTTCCTCCATTTTTTGCTTCTTCAATTGACAAAGATGAAGTCAAAGAAATCTCATTGATCGGTATCTTCCTCTAGATCTTGAATCAATCCAAAGAAACCAGACTAAAAATCTAATCTTGAATGCATCCACTAGCTAGTACGCCACTTTCTTTCTTTATCTCTCTCTGTATTGGTAAAAAATCTATCCTGTCATGTAAGAGACGAAAGCATTGACTTCAAGTCTTTAATCTTTACGGAAATGTTTTCAATGTTAGCTAGCGTGTTGGTTTGCCCCAGAAACTGACTGCTAAAAATTCTTTTCATTCTGACATGTACGTGGTAATTAATTATTGGAAAATTGAAAAAACGAAAAACGAAAAATAAAAATAAAAATAGTTTTTTTTGTTACTAAATTGATTTTGATTTTATTTTATCTTGCTGAATTTATAAATAAAACACTTGATTACTTTTAAATGACTATAAGACAATGATTTGCGACCTTTTTTTTTTAATCTATTTTTTACACAGTACTCTATTTAAAATCTTGATTCTAAATTGTTTAAATTATAAACTCATGCATTTTTCAGAGAATTATTTTTTTATGCTAGCATATAGGTTGTGCTCTTAACAGTTATAGATTTAAATGCATGGAGATTAAATTATTTTATATGACCGAGTCTTACATCTCTATTTAAATTATGTTATTGATGAAGATTTTATTTTATTTTATTTTTATATTTAAATCCAAATTAATAATATGTGATGCAAATCCAATAATGACGAAAGGATTACATACTCATTAGTGGAATGGATTTTTTTCATTTTTTTTTTGTTGACTTTGCCTTGATATTTTCTAGCTTCCACGTGAGAGTGATAGAATCCATGCCGACTCCCTCCACAAACTTGGTCTCGTTTAGATTCGTTGATTATTAAATATAGACTTGAATTCCAAGTTCTTGAAGTTTCAATAATCACTTTAATTATCCTAAAAAGAAAATTCCAATTAGCACATCCTACACGGTTGATTTCACGTCTAGAGATTTAAATGATGATTTTAACCATTTGATCGGGTAGGAGACATACCATCAATGCATTTTGCAAATGTCATCATCATCAATGTCTAACAACTATCGTCCACATATTTATGCTAATTGCATGAAAAGATTGCTTTTTAAAAAAAAATTATTTCCTATAAAATTTACAATATTTTAGATGTTCTGAAGTCAGAGTTTAAGAATGAGTTTATAAAGACTTTTAGGGTGTTCTGAAAGGTAAAAACAAATTTAAAAATAAGGTTTGGAATCCGAAAACCTCAACCTTGATTTTTCGAGAAACCAGAAAGAAGAATAATCTGAGAAAAAAATCAAATGATATTTACATGAATTGGATGGATGTTGTTGTGATTCAATTTCAAACCCTTTTGGCTCGTTTTGCTGGGTGGTGGTTGGGATTTGTTCTCCGCCCTCGCCTGCTGCCATCCACATGTCAAATGCTGTAGCAAATGCAGTGGGACATGGTTTTACTTTTGATGTCGTCAAAATCACGAAGAACTATTCAGCTGATTGCATCTCATGGAATCCAACATAACACAAGGAAGGGGGGGATGATGGATCACGGACTGTACAAAGGGGGATGTCGCAAGAGATAAATCTTACTGAAATAATTCATGAGCTGCCTGACGAAGGAATGGGTATGTATGTATCTGTTCAGAACAGGAAGAAGATGATGGATTCTTTCCATATTGCCAGCCAAGTCATGGCCACTCGAGCAGAGCAATGGCATCTCCTATTTGGACCATAATGAAACAGTGACCTTTCACAGGAAAGTGAGTGCATTGCTGACCTTCATCGTTATCCTCCCCACCTCTCAAATATATGGCACCAGCCCTCGCGCAGCAGCCCAGCCAGCGTGCTCGTTCTGGGTGCGCACAGTTGCATTACAGGCTAAATAGATGAAGGCACCATGTAGAGAATGGCAGGTCCATCTATTTGTCAGGGAGTCCAGGCAACATGGTCCATGGCTGATGCTTCACCAGCTAAAAGACAGCCCCGACTTTATAAGTTTTCACCATCACAATCAACCTCTATATAGTCGTTTCGTCAGTAACTTTGTCAGTAAAGAAAAGATGTGCATTATTGGCAGAAATAATGGTTAGCAGTAGGTCTTCGTGTGATGCGGAACGCCTGTCATCAAGTGCAAGCACAGGAGATTCTGCCATGATAATTTTGATGATTTTTAAAGTGTTTTTTTTTTAAAAAAAAATATATTAGAATATTATTTATTTTATTTTTGACTTTGATATATAAAAAAATCTAAAAATAAAAAAATAAAAAAATATTTTTCCATCATAAAAACATAAAAGTCATATAAATAAACCAAATAAGTTCTCTTTTAAAACATATATAATATTTTATTTGATTTTATTTTTACATCAATTGAGATTTTATTGACATGTTCTGCACATTTAATTTTATAAACAATCGGTTGGCTATAATAGCGAAGATGGAGATCATATTCAAATTACATTATATTCAAATCAATCTAAAAATATTTTAAAAAATAATTTATAACAAAAAAAATCAAAATATTTTAAAAACATGATTCAACTACACTTCCAAACACAACCATAGCCATGCACCACCAGGCAAAAGCTACAAGACAGTTTGCATAAGCATGCTAACAACTTGCATTGAAGATATCTGCAGGTCTTAGCAACCAGTGCTCCATATCACATACACCATACACAAATCCTGTGTTTTTCACCAAGCCAGCAGCAAAGAATGAAGAAGCCACCATCTAGAATCGATCCAGCATAATCTAAAAATAGTTCTTAGCAACTGGATTAGTGAAAAGACCCCCTCCCCCTTTTGTGCGAATTGCATCTGTGGGAACTCACTGCAATTAGCGGCCAGATGAACCATGGTGACTGGCTATTGCCGGAGTCAATAAGATCTTATAAATTCAAAGCTATTCTCCAGTAAGCATTTTCGCATACCACAAGAACTTGGTAAAATGCATGCCATCATAAAATCTACAAGTAAATAATGAACCATGATCATTTAACTCGTTAGCTGCTATTAATCTTAGCAGAGAAGCATTGTAAATATCATAGTGGTTTCACCTCCGACTGTAAGTACCAAAACTGTGAAGCCAGATTGAAGTATGGAAACCATATTCAAAAAAGGAAAAACGATATGGACATAATTGCTAAACCCAGGTATTTCCTTTACAAAAAGGTCCACAGACCATCTAAACAGTCTAATCGTCGTTTTATTTTCCGACCAAGTTTCCTCATTAAGTCATTTCTGTTCAGCATTTGTTTCAATCCTACACTAATCACCATCATCTAAGCAGTTAATAAAATTCTTCTATGACAGGACAAGTTTCTGTGAGCTGGTTCAAAAGGAAAAATTTTGAAAAATTTAGCCAGTCAATGGGTGTTCCTGGTCTTTTTAGCCGTGAATAGTTGGCGAAGGAAAGCAAACTTTCCTCTAGTGCGAGAAGAAAACTCGGTTATGGTGCCATTACTTGATGATGCTGCCTCATTGGTGTCAGATTCTGGTAAGGATGGTGTCGGTGAAGGTGGTGAGAGTGTGAAGAGAAATGCATTGAGCATCCGGATGATCTGGTTGAAGCTAGGCCTCAAGTTGGGGTCTTCAACCCAACATGACTGCATGATAAATGCGAGGTCAGGGGATACATCCTCTGGAAGAGCAGGCCTCTCTTGCTGTATCCATTAAAAACCAGGTTAGTTGTCTCCGAAAACAAATAAATACCAGGTTAGAAGATTTGATAGCAATAAAGCAGAATATCATCTGCAAAGATGGTCCTAAAGTGGCACACATCACAAGTGCACAAGGAAAAAACAGCAGACTGCATTTGGATTGCCACTTGAAGTTGTGATCCAACATTAATAATAACACACACAGAGAGACTTGTTTGCAATCAATTCTTCACCTTAAAAGCAGCAGCATAGGCAGCTTGCAAATTTGACATGCCTTCAAATGGCATGCGGTTGGTCAACAACTCCCATAACACAATTCCAAAGCTGTAGACATCAACTTTGTTATTGTAATGCTTCTTTTCTCCCTGGCGCAGTGTCACGGTGCTGTACAACTGCAAAAGAGCTGTTAGTAAAACAGATGGAAAACTGAAAAGGATTTGTATTCTACATGCAAATCAATATACTATTCTGAAGCGGAATGCTGATAACATATGATGAATGCAACCTAGCCATTCAACCCCAGATATCAACTAAACCTACAGAGTAAAGAACCGCACTGCTTATGAAAACCTCATGCTTCTAGTTGTCAAGCAAATGCAAAAAACTGTGTTTATGTGATCCATCTGGAGCAACAAACAAAAAAAATTGATGAAACAGAATGAATAAAAAATAGCACTAAGGCATACAGTACATTCGTTGTTGAAGGGTGGTGAAATTCAGAATAAGATCTTCTATGTAGTTTCTCCGCATGTCACTCTTGATGAAAATCTACAAAACCATGAACTAATGGCAAAAATGGAAGAGGAAAAGACTCTTGATATAAAAGACACGTTCCCAACTATCAATATTTGTTTCTGTTGTTTTCCAACAGTTACATGACTGATGTGTAACCATCACCTCTGTTTTAGCAGAAGAATATTGATGCACTGCAGGGCTTCTTATGCTGCTAATATCAGGTGATATTAAACCAAAATCAAACTATGTTTGCAACAAGGCACAAACCTCAGGAGCCATCCAACGGTATGTTCCAGTTTCTGCAGTCATCATCTCAGTTACAGTTTCTTCTCTTGCAAGACCAAAATCTGCGAGCTTCACAGACTTCTGATTTGCCGTAAGCAACAAATTGTCTGCATCAGGAAAAAGGTTTTCCAATCATTTTGGTGAAAGGGATAGACATTATTTATAAATTACTTGAGGTGCGCAATGTGGTCCAGGAAAACAACGTTCTTTTTTGAAAGCGCAAACAACATGAAAGTCACAAGCATCATTAACCCTGACTCAAGATGCAAAGGTCAATTACAGAATAATTTAGAAGACCTAAAAAGGAATTGGACTCAAATATCATGCCGTGCCAATGGCCTAATTGAATTACACGCTGAACGAAGTCATAAGACTAAAAAACAGCAATCAAGATGACATTATCCCAAAAATTTAAAATCACAGACCTTAGTAGAATGTCACTTTCCCAATCGCAGAATCATAGAGGTAATAAATAAAGGTTGCATGATTCCAAATACATGCTCTTTTTGATAAAAGGCTAGTGCAAGGCTTGATCATAGTAATATTCAAATGCATCCACATTATAATGCTAAACATAAATGAACTTTGAACTCTAAATTTTGACACCAACATAAACGTAAAAAAGTAAATCATTGAACATGTTCTTACAATACCTGGCTTAAGATCTCTGTGTATAATCCCATTAGCATGCAAACAATCCATAGCTCGCGCAACATCAAGAGCAAACTTTATGGCCACATAGAGGTCTAACTGTTTTGGACGAATACTAACCAAGTACTTCCGGAGTGACATCCCTGGTAATAACTCTGTAACAATCACCATAAATGGATCCTTACAAGCCCCAATAAACTGCAAAACCAACAAACAAAAACACTGTCCTGACTGATACATAAAAATTACGTTACATTACCCAAAAATTAATCATAATCACACTTTTTACCTTGACAAGATTCTCATGTTTAACTCGAGACATCATATTAACCTCTCTTGCAAACCGATCCTCAAGCGCAGCTCGTTCCTCCGACGTAGTCCCTTGATGAAGAACCTTAATGGCCACAATCAGATCACCGTACCTAGAAACACACAAACAAACATTTTCAGCAATCACCTACCACGTAACTAACAATAACTAGAAATAGAAACCACTCCCTATTCAGTAACAACAACATATCTTTTTCTCAATAAAATAGGAACCTACACAATCTTTTATAAGAATTTAAAAAAGAAAAATCAAGTTTCAGCTGTCATCAGCAACACTAACCTTCCTTTATAAACTTCACCATGGGCTCCTTCGCCGATTTTATTTCCGATAAACAACAATTTAGGGTCAATTAGCAGATTCTGATCAATAGAGCCGTTTTCCTCAACGGAAGTTCTCTGCTCGTAAATTTCCTCTCCTCCTCTCCTTCTCTCGCAACTCATGTTGCTCAAAAGCTTCCAAAATTGTCAAACTATCCCTGAATTCCTCATTTCCTGAACAAAATATCTCTCTGTTTTTCCGTATATATATTTTCTGATTTCAACTTTACCAAATTATACATCCAGATATTTCTACACGGCAAGATTAGGTTAAAATGAATTAATTTTTCTCTCTTTTTAGCTTCGGAGAGAAGTAAGAGAACAACTTGAAATCTTTTTCACAAATAAAATAAGGAGGAGAAGAGAAGAAGCGTCTTGAGATGGATTGACGAAGAATAGTTGAGCTCCGGCGATATTTTCCGACGGAGATGGTGATTTTCCGAGGCGATGAGGAGGGTTTGTTTGCTTGTTTACTAAAGTTTTTGAAAGTGGAAGGTAAGAGAGGAGGGAGAGAAAGAGGGGAAAAAGCAGCGAGAGAGGAGGGGGGAGTGGGGTGGTATTCTTGAGAGAAATGTGAAGGACCACTGAGAGGAGAGCACGTGGAGAGCAAAGAAATCAGGCGCCTTCGAGGTAGGTCAGCACAGCAGCAATTCGGACGTTGTTGGTCCAGCAGCCGCTCAGATATGGTCGCAGTCACGTACTCGTAGTGGCAAAACCAGGCCTCTTCAGCTCGGCTTACTTCCTAACTTGGCTTGGCTCGCTGCATCAGCCAATCGAGTCTCTTTCTTTTCCACATTTGTCTCGTGCTGATATAAAAGTTAAAACTACAAAATGAATTTATAATTTAGCCTCTTTATTTTTAGTGATTTTTAAGTTAATCCTGTTTTATTTATTAAGTTTATATTTAGTACCTCCGTCCCTTCATCTTTGTATAATTAATTAATTAATTAATTGGGTCTTAACTATTAATAAAGCAGTCAAACTTTCCTCACCTAACAAAATAACTTGATTTAGAATCTCTCATGAGCAAGCGGTTTTCATAATAGAAGAGACATTTAGCGAGACAAGTTTCCGCTTGTTTAAGAAGATTATTATAAATAATTTAAAAATGTTTTTATACGAGGATAAATACTGCAGTGTAGCTGAAGAATTAGAGTTAAAGAGAAGAGGAGACTGTTGCCTTCTTTATTCGTTATTTTCGGGAGGAGAAGGGGAAAAGAAAAGCAAAGTGATTTAAGTGAATAAATAAATAAATAAATCACTTGCTTTTCTGCTAGGGGATAAATTATAATGGAGAAAGTATGGGAGACAAGTGGATTTGGGACCTGAGAGTCTCCATCAATCTCAGTTCTAATGATCTATGATTCCCATTAACCATTCAATGGGGGTGTCCTCGTGGCCCTGTATGTTTCCCGTCACCTTCTACACAGGAGACGACGGTGAAGCTCAAGAACACACACAGCAGGCCCAGAGAAAGCTGCCTTGCAAATGGGTTTCGTTTTTTTTTCTCCTTTTCTATTCTTTTATTTTGATCTTCCTGGAGGGATTGTCTAGGGCTACTAGCTTGTTGTTTATGAGGAGGTAGGTTTTAATTTATGATATTTTGATAATTATTTGATATTTGATGATAATAACTATCTTTAATGCCCTAAAGTTTCCCTGTCCCTTTTGCTATCACATGGAAAACTGTCACGACTCACATAGTCCTTGAACTCCTCCACCCTTTCCTTCATGAAGGCAGCACCAACCCTTTCCGCGTAAGTTTATTACAATTTGGTGCAACGTCATAAAATGCAAAGACGCGCAAATTTACAAGGGTAATTATAGACTTGTTCTTGGTGCTTATTAAAGCCATAACCAAGCTAAAAAATTATAAGCTCATGCGCCGGATCAAAGCTTGTTTTTTTATGTTACTTTGTTTATTTTTATACTTTAAAACTATTTTAAAACATTAATTTTTTTATTTTAAATTAATTTTTCTTATTATTTTTAAATCATTTTGATATCAAAAATAACTACAACCATATTCTTAAATACTCACATATTAAATCATATTCATAAATACTTATGGATTAAAGCACCATTTGGAAATACAGTATTTTTAAAAAATTTAAATTCTTTTTACTAAAATTTAATATGTTTTGGGTTGTTTTGATATGTTGATGTCAAAAATAATTTTTTAAAAATAAAAAAATATTATTGGCATGCATTTCAACACAAAAAGTTATTTGAAAAGTAATCACAATCATACTACTAAATAATTTCTAATAAATTGATTAATATTAATGATTTTTTTAATTTTTATAAAAAATAATTTTATTTAAAAAAAATTAATTAAGCCTAGAAGATTTCGAGTTGACCACGAAAATTCAAAGCAGGCGCGGTGCTTAAAACGAAGGAAGAGGAAAGGTTTTCAAAATAAAATAAAGGCAAACTGGCATGCCACGCTAATCCATTTGCCTTGGAATTTTTGAAAGGTGGACAAGTTCAAAAACTTTCTGGCATAAAAGAGAGAAGCAAAAAAGTTGGAAGTTAATGGTTATCACTTTGGTGGGTGTGCCTAGCCCTCATGATTTCCTCAGCTTTATTGGCTTCGCTAACAGTACGGGTTGTTTTTAAAAGTTTTTTATTTAAAAATACTTTGAAATAATTTCTTGAGATTTTTAAAATTAACTTATCTAGCAATTTAAAAATATAAAAAAATTATAAATAAAAAATTCATCCTCCACGTATACTCTTATTGCAAAGACCCAAGTGGTGTCGTTATAGCGAATTGGGAGGCTCTCGGGTACGAACGGTACCGCCGCCTCCTCCTCGGGCTCAGGCTTTCTTTCATTAAATGCTTTCGCTCGTGGAGCATGATTTATTTATTTTGATAGACTGTTGGGCAGGGAGGAGCCATGGAGGAGTTGCAGGGGAGTTGTCCACCACAATCTTCGAATTCGAAAATTGATGATACGCTATGAATTGCAAGTGTCCAAGCTAGAATTTGTTACCCAACGGGTATTCGGCTCTGTAGTTATCCCTTATTTTACTCGTATTTTATTGCATGTTAAATAATATCTTTGGAAAAAAAAAATGTGCAAATTTTTTAATTTTTTCTTAGTGTTTTCAAAATAAAATAAAAGAAACTTGACAATCAACTTTGATTAATTTAATAATATCATAAATAAAAAATAAAAAAATATTAAATAAAGTCCAACTAATTTAACACACAGAATGACAATTGAGATTAAAATAATATTATAAAATAATAAAATTATAAAAAATAAATTATAAAAAAATATAAAAAGAAAATCCAAATGAATCTGTCCTTTTTTTCAAATCAATATCACAAAACTACCAAATATTAAATACATATCCATTGTTATTGATAGTATTAATTACAGATGTTTTAACACTAATAACTATCCAATAATATATATTATTTTAAAAAAGAGAAATTCATTACCTCTTGATATTTGAAAACATGTTTAAATTTTTTTAAAATGGGTCATAATTATGATTTAAATATTTGATGGATGCAGAACTTATCAATTTCAAAAGCTTATTTAGAGATCCACAATCTAAGAACAACCACAAAGCCATCAATGGTTGTTTTCTTGATCACAACCTGCTTTGAAGACATACTTATATGTTTTTTTTTATTCAAACCTACAAAATACTTTTTCTTTATTATTCATATATCTTGAATTTTCGAAATTGTTAGTGATTTAATTTAATTTTTTTATATTCTGTCCTCGTGTCGACGGACCACTTAAGCTACTCGTAGCTTCTGAGCCTTGGATTATCCATAATTTCCCACGGCTTGTGAAGAAATCAGTATTGAAATGAGGACACACTTTACAATAATGAGCTAGCTCCCCTCAGAAAGTTTTCTTGTATTGGTCAACAGACAAAATCATGAAAGAAATATACGATTGCCTAAGCAAGTAGCTAGGCCATATTTTTCATGTAGCTCTCGTGTCCGTGTTCTTTATTATACCAACCCCATATATATATATATATAAACCACTTAAGCGACGTCAATGGCTGGCTCCATGAATAATGACCTTTAGCCATAGTTTTAAAATCTTATACATTATAATGTCCGGGTCACGGTAATAAGAGTTTTTTCGGATTCATGTTAATTTTGTTTTAAAAAATTAAAATAATATTTTCTGATAAATTTTTTTCTTGAAATAATTGATAAATTAATAACTTTAATTAAATCAATTTTATTTTTTAATTTTTTTTTATCCAAACCAACGGAAACTCTAGATAGATTGTCTGATATCAGCAAACAAGTACAAGTTTTTTTTTTAAAAAAAATACTCCTAGCAAGAATACAAAAACATGCTAGAAGGTACAAAAATTGGAATTGGATTAGATTTATTAATAACTTCAAGACCCTTTGACGAAAAATATCCAAATTAAATATTGATCTTGCAAGCTAGTTTGGTGTTCACTCTGCCTCTACAATGGAAATTTTCATTGCTTTTTTTACCCTAATAATTTATTTATTTATTTTTATCTTATTATCCGTAATTCATTTCGGTAATTAAAGAGTTACCGTTAGTAATTAATAAGATGAGAAGTTATATAGTCATAATAGAGACCAAATTACTTTAGTTTTCTCTTGCAATGAAATATATTATTAATTTTTTAATTTAAGTTCAAATTCTTCTCTTGAAAAAAAAAACTAAATACCATTGAAATTTCAAAAAATAAGCCTATTAATCACACCAATTTTCAACTCCATGAAGCATTTTGTCACTTACAATGCAATTCTCCATCTTTGGTTGTCCAAGCATCCACCACAAGTATTAATTTCCTCCTTTTACATAGCGAGGACAAAAAAAACAACTTTCAACGCATTTTTCTTTGTTTGGGAGAGGAAAATGGAAAGAATATCTTCCACCATGGCCCAATCTCTCCATTTTGAAGAGAAATAGGGTGGGAATTCATTGAAATGACAATTTTAAACTTTGTCAATGCTGTATAAATTACAAAATAAGATGGTTTTGTGGTTAAAATTATTTTTTAAAATATTTTTTTAATTTTTAATATTAGCACTTTAAAAAAATAAAAATAAAAAATAAAAACTTAATGTTAAAAAAATTTAAAAATTACATTTGGACGACCAAAACAACACTTGTCCTCTCATTCTATATATTTAAATTAGTTTTCTCCATGGTGCTTAGATAATCAAAGCTAATTGATATATATATCAGCCGGTTCTCTATGAAGATCTGGATTATACCGAAATTGAATCTAGAAAATGTTGTTCCAAGTCTACTCTGTTTGAGCGTTTGTATATTATTATTTATAAAAAATAAATTAAGATTTTTTACTTTTAGAATTTGAACAAGGATAAATAAATAAGAAAGAGAGAAAAACAAGACGAAAAAACACCAGCTTTTTCGACCTTCCTGATCTTTCCCGCTCCATCGATCTCACAAAAAGAATTAGGTTGTCAAAAACCATATGCCATAGAATATTATTATAATCTTCTAGCGTTTTGTTTATTTAATCTTGTTACGGGGAACCCATCAAAGTAATGATTCCTTTCATAAATCATTGATGGCCCCCATCATCACCCTATAAGATGGCTCGCCTCCATTGATGATATCTTCTTGTTGCTTCAATAATGCAT